ACAGGCAACACGCATCAGACGTAGGTCCGCTATATAATGCAAATGACATAGCCAAACTAGTTCAGGATGAAGTACGGCATCAAACACGGTTTTCAGCACACACAAATAGGCCATCAAATACAGGCGTACCTTCGTCACGCAACCGTCGCACTACAGATGGGATACCCATATGTAATAAATGCAACAAGGTGGGCCACATTGCGCGCAACTGTAGAAGTGCGGAGGAACAATTCCCTTCCATGCCACGCCGATTTCCCCCTAGGCAGCCGCCCAGTGTAAATTTACGCCCTGATGCACCGCCATTCGCCGCCCAACAAAGAGCCGGCAACCCATTTCGCCAGCGGGCGGGAAACTAATTGCGGCTTCTCTATACCGGGACGATAGGGAGGCGAAGTATTTAGAAAAGATTAATGAAATTAAATGTCTCGTAACGGATCACCATGATGATAATAACTTTTCTCGTGAAACTAATGATATTCCGGTTGCAACTTTAGTTAATTTGGGAATAGAAGAAAATAAACATGCCGAAACCCCAAGCCCCACAGTACATAAGAAAAATATAGGAACCATACACCCTGATCTTGAGGATATTGATTTTAGTTTATACGCAGACGAAACTGATAGTGTTTTATGCAAGGAAAATCTTCAAGCTAGCCAATCGATACTAGAGTGTGATACATTGACCCCATATGAAGACAAAGGAAATGAAATACAAGATCGCGACATTATTTTTAATCCGGATCTGGAAGGATTAGTATTTCCCGTTTCTAACAGAAGTGACAATTATACTGACAAGCCTGTTCCTGAATTTCCTGTTGCATGCCCTATCGCCGTTCCTTTTGAGATACGTAATAATTGCCCGTTTGTATCTGGAAAAGTTTGTGATCTTTCGGTGTCATTTTTATGCGATACCGGCGCTGCTATATTACCGCTCTAAGCTCCGCATTATTTGAACGACTGCCTAGCCTTACGAAACATCCGCCTAGTTCATTAATGCCGCAGTCTATTCGAACAGCTACCGGTGAAAGTGTTCCAATTACTGGTTTAGCGTTGGTACCATTTCAAGTTGGTAAATACAAGTACCCTTATTATGCCTACATTGTCGATAAATTGGCTTACGATGCAATAATCGGTGCCGACTTCTTAACCCACCATCAAGCTGTTATCAACTCCGACACTCGCGAATTGCAGCTTCCACCTCCCACGGACACACCACCGCCTTGTCCTATACTTCATTTCTCATGTTGCTGTTTGCCGTTTTCCCCAGCGAATGATTAAGTTCAATAGATCAACTCCTTCCCTCTGGGCACGTTATAATTGGGTTTTGAAGCACGATGGGGTCAGTCTTGTTTGTACTTTGTACCTAATGTCCTACATGCACACACAATACATAAATAGGCTTTTCTATGTGATGTACATGCATGTTATTTATGTTGATTGTTTCTGTATGTTTTGTTGTTGTCTGTTCCATGACACGACTAAGTTCTTCTTTGGTTCATGTCAAAATTCGAGTGCCATTGCGAATATTTGAGTAGTTGCCTGTCCTTGCCACAAAAGACATTTGGTGAGCGGAAAAGGCCTCGCAAGAGACGATGACGTCATCCCGAAAGACATGCAGCTGCCTGAGAGACCAACCAATGAACAGAACAGTGACTGAGGTGACACATGAGTACAACTACCTGGACTTAAGAAGAAATCTACGTCACACCCGTGGGAACAAACTGACTCCAATGATTAATTTTAAGAGAAAAACAATCGTTATATTCATTTAGTTTACCACGAAAACCAGGAGGTTTTTCACCTAAAGGAGGGAGATATGTAATATAGGAAACATGTTACACGTAATATGCACAATGAACAATGCACAATGGGTTATTGAAAAGCGATATCATGTAGTGATATAACACAGTATGATTAAGCAGAAAACAGTTAGTTGATACAGGAACACGGGAAGAGCACATCTCAAGCACCGAAGCACGAATAAAGAGTTATAAAAATATGTGTGTGTTCTGTGAGTATTTGTAAAGAGCTGTCCCCCCAAACGACCCGACGATCCCGGACGTTAGAAGAGCCTAAACGAAGCCACGCAAAAAGGGTCGTTTTACACTATTTTCATTAAAATACCAGAAATATTATAGTTTGCAGCCGTTTTCTCCCGACGATTGCATAACTTAGTGTTGGAAATTATTTGTTTCGATGCGCTCGCAACACTATTCACAATTCTGATGGGTTTTTTGTATTAGATTTCCTCTCGCAATATAGATCACAGTCCTTACAGCTCCGCTATCACTTCACAATTAAATTACTTTTCGTTTCCTACCTCATTATATCTTCTCTGTCATCTAGTGCTACTAATTAATTACTCATGATACTAAAATTCCTAAAATATTTAACACACTCCCCCCATTTGGCCCGAAAGAGACCAATGTTTTAATGTATTGGTCCGTGTAAGTTCATGTCCGTAAACAGAAACAATATATGATTGAACTAAAGTCATGCAATATGATGATACTAAGTTATGTAAATTTATAGAACGTTTCCTTATCTGTCAGACAACTAGTCATGTTCTTGAAACTCAATTGCTACGATCCGATCTCTTGCTTGGACGGCCGCTTGTCGCTTCGGTCTCGGTCGAAACTCGACTGAAGGACTTTTACGACGTTATATTCAGTTATGTAAATGTACAAACATACAAGTTCTTCATTGTGATTGGCTAGATTTATAATGATTGTAAATGACACGATGTGGGATGCGCTTTGGATGCTCGTTAAAAATAATTAGGCGAGCACAGATTTATTTTCTCTATATTTATGGTATTTTTCGTTAGGTTTATAGCACGCAACTGCGGACAACACACCCCGTATAGTTGAACCTAAAACTATTAATTTTTATATGCATCCAACATTGTAAATAGTCAGAATTTTCGTCTCATACGACAAATAAAAACTCACAATCCTTTGGGATGAGTTTTAGGTTAACAAAATTAATATATAGAGAGATAAAGCAGTCTTTTACAAACAAACATTTATTCAGTTAAAAATACCAAGCTGCGATAATAGATGAACTTCTATAAAACTAAAAGTCTTACTACCTTCAATATGCCACCGCGAGAAAAATTTACGGATTTACGATCAATATTGAAGAAATGGCGCTCTCTGCATGGGATTTCGTCGTAAATGAAGTCGTTAGCGACGAGAGGTTTCGACATGCTTCGAATTCCAGCAAACGTTCGACCCTTGCATGTATATATACCGAATTTCCGAAGAGCAAAATACTGTTTGTCGAAGAATTTTAGGCGGAATTTTAGAATCTACATAATGTCAAATGAATTTGCATGAATGTACATAAGCCACATAATTATCGATCAGTGTAAAGGCGTTTTAAGATTAGAATATATTAAAAATTCAACTTGCGTTGAAAAAACTTATGCAAAACAGAACTGCAAACTTATTTTCCTTTATGAATATATCACACTAAACTTTCAACAAATACGAGCCCGGGATTTTACGGTAACGAACAAATTTGGTAGTCTGAGCAAATAGGGAACAATGATCTCAACGTAAGTTTCGTTCGTTAATGAGGCTATAAGTCTTTCGGTGCATGTTAACTACTATAAAGTAAATTGAGAGAAAATGTGAAACGTCGTAACGCCGGTCTTGGAGCACTGTTTACCGACCTCTAGATGCATAAAGCAGCTGTTTAGAAACGCTTTGCTAACCGAATCTTTTACCTTGGGCATTTCTGCAGGAATTTAGAAATGTATTGCTCAAAATTTTGGCCGTGTTCTCTTAATGAACTTATAAAATCGCTCACATTCATACGAAAATTTCGAATCGGATTATCAATGAATTGACGTGTAAACATACCACGAGATTTTGTTAGAGATATTGTCTTTCGTATTCCTGATATAAATTTTCTTCCATGTTCCGGATTTTTTCTGCAGTCACTTTAAAAAAATATTATCAGCCTCATAAGGCAGTTCAATCATACGAAGCGTATACACACATTTGAACACAGTCAGTTGGCGGAACGTAGAAACACCCAAGGTAAGTAATTTGATAATCAAAACGTTGCGAAACGGCTGTTCTATTGATCCAGAGGTCGGCAAACAGTGGGCAACATCCAGGGCAACGGCAATTTTAGATGTTGCACTCTTGCTATATGTATTTTATTGTAAAAGTTAAAGGCCATTATTGTTGAAATTTAAATGCAAACGAGTATTATGCAAATCACCATGACGCAAATTTCTGGTAATGTCATGCGCGCCTATTTTGACCATGCAGAGAAACTATATATATATAGGGGCCGAAAAGTCAATAGATTGTTGCAGGGATTTCGCCCGCAAAGAAATTTTGTTCGGCACTGTCCAGTTGTTTTTTCTGTCCTTCTTGTTCATGTAATTGTCCATCCTAATGTTGCATATCTATAGGTATTGAGAAGAAGAAAGATACAAGTAGAAGCATAAATGTCTGCGAAGAAGGAAAACAGAAATTTTGGGACGAAATCAGAAAGCAAGTTGAATATGGTGAAAACAAAGAAGATCGTTGGAAGAAGACAATCCTTTGGTGTGCTTTTCAGTTTAGTCCAGTAGATCAAAAAATTGTTAAATATTTAGTTGACCATGGAGCAAGCATTTATTCCCAGAACGAAGATGGTGAAACAGTTTTGTCGATAGCGTCGAGAAATGGTTTATTTGATCTTGTTAAGTATTTTGTTCAATATGGCCCGGAACATAATTTTCAAAACGATTCCAAAGTTCTTCAGGGTGCAATACAGTCTCGATCATTAGAAATTGTGAAATATTTCGTTGAAGATTGTGGGGCTGATATACATTGTAAAGATGATTCGGGAAATAGTGCCTTACATCATGCTGTTTATGTTGGTGGCACAGAAATTGTCAAGTACTTAGTTAAACAATGCGGTGCAGACATGAATGCAAGGAATCCAGACGGGGGGACAATGCTACAACTTGCTGTTACAGAAGGTACGCTAGAATTGGTGAAGTATCTTGTTGAACAGGGCGCTGATGTAAATGGCCAGGGTACTGACGGGTGGACAGTGTTGCACGCTGCTGTTACAAAATCTACTCCAGAAGTTGTAAAATATCTTGTTGAAAATGGCGCTGTTGTAAATGGCAAGGATACTACAGACGGCTGGACAGTACTGCACTATGCTGTTTTCTATAGTTCATTGGATATGGTAAAATATCTTGTTGAACTGGGGGCAGATGTAAATGGCAAAAAGACCGATGGGTGGACAGTCCTGCATGATGCTGTTATAAAAGGTACGCTAGAAAAGGTAAAATATCTTGTTGAAATGGGCGCTAATGTGAATGGTAAGAGGAATGGCGGGTGGACGGTGCTTTACGATGCAATTTCTAAAGGTACGCTAGAAATTGTAAAATATCTAGTAGAAATGGGTGCTGATGTGAATGCCAAGGATGTCACTTACGATTGGACAATGCTTCACTCTGCTGTTACTGAAGGTACGCCAGCAATGGTAAAATATCTTCTTGAAATGGGCGCTAATGTAAATAGCGAGGATAGTAAGGGATGGACGGTGCTACGCCATGCAATTTTTAAAGGCACACTAGAAATAATAGAATGTCTTGTTGAACATGGCGCTGATGTTAATGACAAAAATGAAATGCATTCAGTTCTGCACTGTGCACTTTGTGTTACTCAAGATACTTTAGAAATAGTAAACTGCTCTGTTGAGAAAAGCGCTGATGTCAATTATGAGAAGACTACAGGGGAAACAGTGTTGCACTCTGCTTTTTCTAAAGGCAGGACAGATATAGTAAAATATCTTGTTCAGAAGGGCGCCGATGTAAATGTCAAGAATACTTACGGGAAGACAGTGCTGCACTCTGCTGTTACTGAAGGTAACTTAGAAATGGTGAAATATCTTTTGGGAAATGGCGCTGATATAAATCTTAAGAATACTCACGGAAGGACAGTGTTGCACAGTGTTGTTGTAAAAGGTTTGTTAGAAATGGTAGAATATCTTGTCGAGAATGGCGCTGATGTAAATGCTAAGGATACTCATGGGAAGACAGCGCTGCACTCTGCTGTTTCTGAAGGTGCGCTAGAGATGGTCAAATATCTCGTGGGAAACGGCGCTGATGTAAGTGTAAAAAAGAACAGCGGATGGACAGTCCTCCACAGTGCTATTGTAAAAGGTTCGCTAGAAATGGTGAAATATCTTGTTGAGAAAAGCGCTGATGTAAATGCTAAGAATACTCTTGGGGAGACAGTGCTGCACTCTGCTATTTCTGAAGGTAGGCCAGAAATGGTGAAATATCTTGTGGGAAATGGCGCTGATGTAAATGGAAAAAATAATAGCGGATGGACAGTGTTGCACAATGCTGTTGTAAAAGGTTCGCTAGAAATAGTGGAATATCTTGTCGAGAATGGCGCTAATGTAAATGCCAAGAATACTCACGGGGAGACAGTGCTGCACTCTGCTGTTTCTGAAGGTACGCTAGAAATGGTGAAATATCTTGTGGGAAATGGCGCTGATATAAATGGAACAGATGCTGACGGGTGGAGAGTTTTGAATTGTGCTATTGCAGTTGGTAAATTAGACATTGTTCAATATCTCGTTGACCAAGGTGCTGATGTAAATAGCACGAATACTAACGGGGAGACAATGCTGCACAGTGCTGTAATAATAGGTGAGCTTGAAATAGCTTACTTTCTCGTTGAGAAGGGCGCTGACGTAAATGCCCAGAGAAATGACGGGAAGACAGTGCTAAACTCTGCTTTTTCTCAAGGTATGCTAGAAATGGTGGAATATCTTGTGGGAAATGGCGCTGATGTAAATGAAAAAAAGAACATCGGATGGAGAGTGTTGCACTGTGCTGTTGTAAAAGGCTCGCTAGAAATGGTAAAATATCTTGTTGAGAAAGGCGCTGATGTAAATGCTAAGAATACTCTTGGTGAGACAGTGCTGCACTCTGCTATTTCTGAAGGTAAGCCAGAAATGGTGAAATATCTTGTGGGAAATGGCGCTGATGTAAATGGAAAAAATAATAGCGGATGGACAGTGTTGCACAATGCTGTTGTAAAAGGTTCGCTAGAAATGGTGAAATATCTTGTTGAGAATGGTGCTGATGTAAATGTCAAGAATACTTTTGGGGAGACAGTGCTGCACTATGCTATTTCTGAAGGTACGCTAGAAATGGTAAAATATCTTGTTGAGAAAGGCGCTGATGTAAATGCTAAGAATACTCTTGGTGAGACAGTGCTGCACTCTGCTATTTCTGAAGGTAAGCCAGAAATGGTGAAATATCTTGTGGGAAATGGCGCTGATGTAAATGGAAAAAATAATAGCGGATGGACAGTGTTGCACAATGCTGTTGTAAAAGGTTCGCTAGAAATAGTGGAATATCTTGTCGAGAATGGCGCTAATGTAAATGCCAAGAATACTCACGGGGAGACAGTGCTGCACTCTGCTGTTTCTGAAGGTCCGCTAGAAATGGTGAAATATCTTGTGGGAAATGGCGCTAATATAAATGGAACAGATGCTGACGGGTGGAGAGTTTTGAATTGTGCTATTGCAGTTGGTAAATTAGACATTGTTCAATATCTCGTTGACCAAGGTGCTGATGTAAATAGCACGAATACTAACGGGGAGACAATGCTGCACAGTGCTGTAATAATAGGTGAGTCTGAAATAGCTTACTTTCTCGTTGAGAAGGGCGCTGACGTAAATGCCCAGAGAAATGACGGGAAGACAGTGCTAAACTCTGCTTTTTCTCAAGGTATGCTAGAAATGGTGGAATATCTTGTGGGAAATGGCGCTGATGTAAATGAAAAAAAGAACATCGGATGGACAGTGTTGCACTGTGCTGTTGTGAAAGGTTCGCTAGAAATGGTGAAATATCTTGTTGAGAATGGTGCTGATGTAAATGTCAAGAATACTTTTGGGGAGACAGTGCTGCACTATGCTATTTCTGAAGGTACGCTAGAAATGGTGAAATATCTTGTTGAGAAAGGCGCTGATATAAATGCCAAGAATACTTTTGGGAAGACAGTGCTGCACTCTGCTATTTCTGAAGGTAAGCCAGAAATGGTGAAATATCTTGTTGAGAAAGGCGCTGATATAAATGCCAAGAATACTTTTGGGGAGACAGTGCTGCACTCTGCTGTTTCTGAAGGTACGCTAGAAATGGTGAAATATCTTGTTGAGAAAGGCGCTGATATAAATGCCAAGAATACTTTTGGGGAGACAGTGCTGCACTCTGCTATTTTTGAAGGTAAGCCAGAAATGGTGAAATATCTTGTGGGAAATGGCGCTGATGTAAATGGAAAAAATAATAGGCAACGGACAGTGTTGCACAGTGCTGTTGTAAAAGGTTCGCCAGAAATGGTGAAATATCTTGTTGAGAAAGGCGCTGATATAAATGCCAAGAATACTCTTGGGGAGACAGTACTGCACTCTGCTGTCTCTGAAGGTAGGCTAGAAATGGTGAAATGTCTTGTGGGAAATGGCGCTGATGTAAATGCAAAAAAGAATAGCGGATGGACAGTGTTGCACGGTGCTGTTGAAAAAGGTTCGCTAGAAATGGTAGAATATCTTGTCGAGAACGGTGCTGATATAAATGCCAAGGATGCTAACGGAGGAACAGTCTTGCACCATGCTGTTAGTGTTGATGATTTAGTAACTGTCAAGTATTTAGTTGAACAGGGTGCTGATGTTGGCACCACTGCCTTGGCACTCCTCCAAATAGCTGTTGAAAACAACTTCATTGCTTTGGTGAATCTTCTTTATGAGAAGGACATCGCGATGTGGAGAGAGCAAACGATTATTGTTAAAAGGCGAGGAATGAATCTTCTTGAATTGAGCATCCACCTTGGGCATGATGAAATTGCAACTATCTTTAAAAGGTCCGTAAAACATCGTGAGAAAATTCAGAATTTGAAAACAACGAACTGCAACCAGTTAGAAGAGGTAATATTTTAAACATATGTGAGCTTGTATAATAAGTTTTGCAAAATAACCTAAGGTTATGGGGAAGTTTACGAACAAACGACATCGCAGCTCGATGACGCACGTTTGGTTTCGCGCATTTTGTAGCCAATCGGTAACATAATCAACTCCCTACCAAGCTTATCAACTCCCTACGGAACTCGCGCGATATGTGGGTCCAGTGAACCAAAACTAAGATTAACCAGTGAAACAAAACTAAAATATATATAATATATATTTATATATATATATATATATATATATATATATATATATATATATATATATATATATATATATATATATACAGGGTGTATCAAAAAAAATGCCCCAAATGTAAAAAAAGCGTTTTTCAGGATATTTTGCAGAATTTGGCAAATTTTTGTGTTCCTAGAGATAGTTAAGACTTATCTGGTATACCTAGGCCAAGTTTGGTTTTTCATTAACAAAATTATGTTACTGGGGGGGTGGTTCCTTTCCACTGATATTGAGAGGGCTTGCGCGCGAAAATTTATTCGTGAAAAGCGATTTATTCGTGATGTTAATCCTCAGCATGTCCCCCATTTCATTCTAAGCAAACTGCGGCTTGTCTGAGCATACTAAACACTGAACAGCGAACCATTTGTCTGTCCATTCGCCTAAATTTGCCGGTGGTAGCGTAGGCGATTTGCAAGAAAGAATTTCGAACGAAATGGATAATTTGAGGCAGGACAGACAACTGTGGTTCCGCCGTTCAGTGTTTATCATGCTCAGACGAGCCGCAGTTTGCTTAGAAAGAAATGGTGGAAATGTTGAGGATTAACATCAAGAATAAAAATCTTGTTATTAAATCGCTTCGTCTTCTTCTTGTTCAGTTTCTCGCTTTAATTTATTAATTTGCCCAGCCTTGCACGAGATCGGTCACGCTAAAATCAACCATGCATTTAATCCACTGTGCGCAATGAAATATTGGTCACTTTTAGGGGTCGCGCGTATCTCCCAGTTTAAATTATTTTACCTGAAACTTTGACAGTTTATTAAAAAGCTTTCCTACTTTTAGACAGTTAAATAATATCTCAATTTCAGCTTCACATTTTCGCGCGCAAGCCCTCTCAATATCAGTAGAAAGGAACCACCCCCCCCGGTAACATAATTTTGTTAATGAAAAACCAAACTTGGCATAGGTATACCAGATAAGTCTTAACTATCTTTAGGAACACAAAAAATTGCCAAATTCTGCAAAATATCCTGAAAAACGGAAATTTTATATCTGGGACATTTTTTTTGATACACCATGTATATATATATATATATATATATATATATATATATATATATATATATATATATATATTGCGCGCTGATTAATTTAGCGACGTTTTTCAAACTGTAAACTTTTTTTTTATACACCCTGTATATATATATATATATATACATATATATATATATATATATATATATATATATATATATATATATATATATATATATATATATATATATATACAGGGTGTATAAAAAAAAAGTTTACAGTTTGAAAAACGTCGCTAAATTAATCAGCGCGCAATGCTTGGTAAAACCTTTGGTGGAAATAAGTTGTTTCACGCCCATTAGTTTATCTGACAGCAAAATTGTCTCAAAAAAGAACCATTTGTAGAGTGAGAATTTTGTTAGCCAAAAGCACTTTTGAATGAGCTGGCGCCGAAAAATGACACGTTTAAAATGCAATCTGATTACATGGGGGGAAAATATGGAACATGTTGTTTTAACTAACAAAGTTTCAAAGCATTTGGTCAATACCAACCCGAACGCACAGCCACCAAATCTTGAATTATTTACTCTTTTTCGTTTTAAGATGTCATTTTTAAAGCCTCAGTAATTATGCATTGTCATGTCTTTGCACGCTAAGATTTTTGCATAAATTAGAAAACTTTCTACAGCGTTTATTGTAAAAACTGTTGCAATGTCGATCCTTTACATTAATTAAAATTTCGTTATTTACTGTGTTCGTGGTTAAGTTGTGATTAAGCAGAACAGAAAATAGCTCTGTCCTGCCTGTTGTTATTATTTGTCCGTGAGTTTCGGTATGTTTGCGTTGTTTCAGCAGCATTTCAGCTTTGAAATAGCATGACTGCTAGGGCTGGTTTATGTTTAGAACGAAATGGCGGTCACGTTGAAGATTAAAAAGAACAATGTAATTTTTAGAAATAAACATCATTGTAAATAAATATTGTTAATAATATCTACGATCAAATGTTCGAAACAATGTTCAAATAAACGCTTTATACGTTAAAAAGCTTAAACAACGCTTGAAAGCGTAAAGTCCCTTGGGGAAATCCGTGTTATAATTTATGCAAAAATCTTAGCGTGCAAAGACATGACAATGCATAATTACTGAGGCTTTAAAAATGACATCTTAAAACGAAAAAGAGTAAATAATTCAAAATTTGGTGGCTGTGCGTTCGGGTTGGTATTGACCAAATGCTTTGAAACTTTGTTAGTTAAAACAACATGTTCCATATTTCACCCCCATGTAATCAGATTGCATTTTAAACGTGTCATTTTTCGGCGCAAGCTCATTCAAAAGTGCTTTTTGCTAACAAAATTCTCACTCTACAAATGGTTCTTTTTTGGGACAATTTTACTGTCAGATAAACCAATGGGCGTCAAACAACTTATTTCCACCAAAGGTTTTACCAAGCATTGCGCGCTGATTAATTTAGCGACGTTTGTCTAACTGTAAACTTTTTTTTGATACACCCTGCATATATATATGTATATATATACACCCATTTGCAAAAACGTTGGCCGCAGATAGATAAATAGATAGGCACTCGAAGTCTAATTAGAATTGCATATGATTACATTTGCATGGGATTTGGGACAACATATGCAATTCTAATTAGACTTCGAGTATCTATCTATCTATCTGCGGCCAACGTTTTTGCAAATGGGTGTATATATATATATATATATATATATATATATATATATACATATATTATATATATTTATATATATATATATATATATATTTATATATGAAATATATGATGTAGACATGTCCGGTATTATATGACAATACTATTACAAAAGAGACTTCAACTTCTGCGGACATAAAAATTTTTTTATATTAAAATAATTAAAAACGTTTCGCTATTTACAGCTTCATCAGTTTATTAAAAGTTCAAGCCATACACCGTTCTCTTTTATAGTGCAGTCCATCTAATTACAATTGCTATATATCAATAAATCTGCCAATACAACCATTCATTAAACTATGTTTACTATTTTTAATTTCAAAAGCTTCTAAAATTTTGCGTTCATTATAATATTGGATATTGTAATGTAGTATTCCCCAGGTGATGGGTGAACCCTCCCTGGAATCATTACTATGTGTTTGTAAATGCGTATATACCGTTTGCTTTTTCATGTTTAGATGTTCCTTAATCCTGGTCCCTATGGTTCTGGACTTTTTTCTTATTTTTAAGTCTCTATAGACTTAAAAATAAGAAATTAGCATATAAACGTCCTACTGCAGACATTGTCATAACACCAACGGATAAAACTAAGCGATTAGTCGCACTTGATTCTAGTCAGTACGCCAATATGATTACAGAAAGTACTATTGGTACAGGAAAGTATGAGGAGAAGAAGAGATTGAATCTACCTAGAACTGAACAAATTCGATTCAATAAAGAATTAAATAAGATCGCCAACAAATACAAGACCAGTGATCCTGAATTGTATAAGCGGCTTAAACCATTAATCTGCAGTGAACCACTTCCCAGCCCTGTTCACTGTCTACCTAAGGATCATAAAGAGGGAACCTTGAAAGGGAGACCTATCCATTCAGCTACGGACACACCATCTACGCCCTTATCTAAGTTCTTAGTACATGCCCTAACACCATTACTCAATCATGTTGATGCCCATCTCAAGTATACGGAAGACTTTATAAGTTTTCTTAAATACATAGATGGGAAGGAAGTACAGGGCATCTGTAGCTTGGATGTTAAGAACTTGTATGGGTCTATTCCTTTAGAAGATGTGAATGACAATACACTAGGGGTATTTACAGTTGTGAAGAATTTTTTTGACGAACATAAGAATGATACATGTCTATCGAATTTAGATGTAAGAGATTTCGAAAAACTTTTGCGTTTATCCATCACTACCGATACTGTACTCATTCATGAGAAAGGATATCATCAGAAAAGTTGCCTAGCCATGGGAAACAACCTTGCACCTATGTTAGCTATTATTTACATTCACTCTTTAGACTCACTTATAATTGAGAAGTCGGGAGGTTCTGTCTCACTGAAACGATACATTGATGATATATTTGCAGTACTACATTCCGACAGGATTAATGCTGACAAATTATTAGAGATATCCAATGATCTTAATGAAGCCATTAAATTTACATTGGAAAAGCCGAACAGCTCAAATGAATTACCGTTTCTGGACACTCTAGTCAGCTTCGACCAAAACACGAAACAATTTAGAAGTGAATTGTATGTTAAACCCATTCATAGCGGTTCTATTACGTCTTGGGATAGCCATGGGCCTATTTCTTTTAAGCGGGCGTTAATCATCGGTGAAACCAAGAGAGCGTTACGTTGTTCCATGGATCGTCCATCGAGAAATCGATCGTTAAAAAAGATAACCAAAACGTTTACCAGCAACGGTTATCCCAGGAGATTTGTTAGAGCAATCATTAGGCGTACCGTCAGTACTACATCTCAAAAACAGGAAGTGAATCCCAACATGACTTATTTAAAATTACCATACATCGATGAGGAATTAAAACGGAGAGCATTAGCAGTGATTAGACAGTCGGGAATAAAAGACATTAGAACATGTTTTATTAATGGCCCTTCATTGTCGAAAGTCTTAGCCCCACGTAGAGACAAATTGCATTGTAAAAAGGATTGCGAAACTTGTAAGATGGCGACCAAACCAGATTGTTGTTCGGCCAAAAGCGTCATATATAAGATCTC